GAGGATTGTTGAGACATCCAAGACCATCTGGGGTTTCTGCATCTCGCTCCTAGTGGTGGTATAGTATACAGAACAATCCCCAACACCATGCACAGACCCTAAAGGACCACTATATACCCGAACTCCCGAAGCTGAACAAACCCAAACTACATAAACCCCCACAATTGCCGAAGACTCGGAAACCTCCCAGGCTCGCAAGAAATAGCAATTCTTTTGCTTACTACTGCACTACCACTGCTATATGCAGTGCATGCTTATACATCCAAAAACACATGTATACATATATATGTGCATATATATGTATATGATATATATATATATATATACACGTGTGTGTGTGTGTGTCCTAAGTTTGTTCCCCGTGTCCGCGCCAATCTTCCCGACCCGCCAAGCCCACTGATGCTCATGACTTTTTGACATATATTATATATATATAGCTATATACACACACGTGTGTGTATATGTATTTTGGTATATATGTGTATACATGTATTATATACATATATATATACATATAATATATATACATACACCACCACCCACCACCACCACCATCACCACCATTATATATACAACACAAATCAAACCCAGGATGCCCGCCAACGTTCGTTCAATGTGACAACACCTCTAAAGTTCCCCGCGGTGACCGTACTTTGGTCCCGCGGTGTCCGGGCCCTTTTTGCAAGAACCGGCTGATGCTCATGATGCTCGCGCCTGGTGGGGGCAGGTTGCTTACGCTCTTCGATTTGTGGGGCCTTTTACGGGTACTACTACTACTACTACTACTACTACTACTACTACTACTACTACTACTACTACTACTACTTTTCTACTACTACTGCTACTACTACTACAACTACTACTACTACTACTACTACTACTACTACTACAAGCCTGGAAGGAAGGACACACAACAGCACATGATCACCTTTAAGCGAACACACACCTCAACGTGCTGAGTGTCCTTTCAACCGGCTCCTACTACTACTACTACTACTTCTACTACTCCTACTACTACTACTACTACTCCTACTACTACTACTACTACTACTCCTACTCCTACTCCTACTCCTACTCCTACTCCTACTCCTACTACTACTACTACTACTACTACTACTACTACTACTACTACTACTACTACTACTACTACTACTACTACTACTACTACTACTACTACTACTACTACTACTACTACTACTACTACTACTACTACTACTACTACTACTACTACTACTACTACTACTACTACTACTACTACTACTATACTACTACTACTACTACTACTACTACTACTACTACTACTACTACTACTACTACAAGCCTGGAAGGAAGGACACAAAACAGCAATCTGATCACCTTTAATCGAACACGCAACGTGCTGAGTGTCCTTTCAACCGGCTCCTACTACTACTACTACTACTTCTACTACTCCTACTACTACTACTACTACTATCACTACTACTACTCTGATACTGCTAGATATGTACATATATATATGTGAAGATATGTATATATATGTATATGTATATACATATTGTATATATATGTACCTTGATCCTGGTCTGTGCGTGCACAATTAAGTGCGAACTGCTCAATTCGCACAGCAGCTGTTCCGAGACATGCTGCTGATGGGAAAACACAGAACTCCTCTGCAGTGCCTATATGTGAAGCCAAGACTATCAGTGTTTGCTGTTGAATATACGCAAACTATACAACACGCTTGTCGGATGGCTGTCGGATAGCTGTCGGATAGGCTGTCGGATAGGCTGTCGGATAGGCTGTCGGATAGGCTGTCGGATAGCTGTCGGATAGATGTCCCTTCAAACGGCTCTTCCGTGGAAGGGTCGGATGCAAAGCGCTGTCGGATAGGATTGTCCGGGGGTCCCTTCAATTAACTCTTCCCTGGAAGGGCCGGTGTCATGCTAATGTGGGCGGGGTCTTCGGGAGACTCTTGTTTGGAAGGCCCGCCAATCATACGTGCTCTCGGTGCTTTCAAATAGCTCTGTGCTTGAAGGGTTGGCAAGTGCCGGTGGTTTGTCGGATAGGCCAGCCTTGTCGGATAGCTTGTCGGATAGCTTGTCGGATAGCTGTCGGATAGCTGTTAGATAGCTGTTAGATAGCTAGGACTATGCGTGGCCTGCGGGCCGGCTGTATCCTGTATTGGTCTGCATGGAATCTGCTGAACTCAAACCATGTCTGCTTCAACCTATGCATACGTTTGCATTGATCAAGCTAGCTAGGTGTTTTCGCGTTGTCCTCGTGCCCTTGTGCATCATGGAGAGCCTTGCGGCAAAAACGAGGGCCTACTTCGTTTCCTACCCTGGTGCGCTGACACCGGAGGCTACCCCGTGGTTTGCAAACACCCTATATTGGATTACCCCAAATTAATTCAAGCGGGTCTTGGGCTAGTCGGGAAACCTTCCGGTTTGTGCAGATGCCTAAGGGTTTCAGCAAACAGAACGCAGGCAACAGGGGCTAGCTTCCATTGGGGGTTGGTCTCGTGCGTTGTGTTTTGATGTATCAGTGCTTCGGGTGACAGTTAACATACATATATAACAGACCCTGGCTCATAAATATATATATATATATTATAAATATATATATATATATCACATATTTCTATTCTTTCTATACTTATCTTCCCTCCCTCCCTCCCTCCCTCCCTCCCTCTCTCGGTCTCTCCGTCTCTCTCTTTGTCTTCCTGTCGCTGTCTCTTCCTCTCTCTCTACTCTCTGTTTCCCTCTATATAACTCTGATACTCTCTCTCTCTCTCTCTCTCTCCTTCTCTTTTTTCTTTCTCCCGCTGTGTGCATATACTCTCTCTCTCTCTCTCCCACCTAACCCCTCGTGCATGATACACACACACACACTCTCTCTCTCTCTCTCACCTAACCCCTCGTGCTCTCTGTCTCTCTCTCTCTCTCTCTCTCTCTCTCTCTCTCTCTCTCTATATATATATATATATATACACCCCAGAAAGAACCCCTTATATCGGTCTTATATGTAAGCCCCATAAAACCCTAAATCGCAGGGTCATGCCGAGCTGCAGCAAAGAGCCAGCTTGGACAAGGCAGGATCCACTCAATAATCCTGCATGGGGTGGCACTGCAAATCTTCTGGTTTATATAGGCTGCATGTATATCATCAGCTGGGTCTGCCACAGGTTCACATAGGTCTTTGCAAAGAGGGATAATTAGAAACTTCACTAGAGGCTTTTGAATATGTATGGCTTCGTGCATGCATACAATTGGCATGGAGTTGTGGAACGATATAGCTAAACATGTAAAGCTTCATCCTTATCATGCGTGATGCAAGGTTGCTTTGGATTTCACTATACCCTATAAGGCTCCTGGACCCTCGTAGTGAGATCCCAAACCGTTTCCACCAAAGCCCAATGTATTGCTTGTTGCTGTTCGTTTTATGCCCAACTACCTCCCTGCGCCCACACTCTCCTATGCAGGGATCATCGAGATCTTCTTTGGCATCCAGTCTGGAAGCGCCCTCGCCGCTTTGCCTGGGATTGTAGAAGGGTGTTTACAAGGGACACGGCAGGCTCCATACATATTTTACTATATAAGGCTCTTGAGCTTGAGAGGGTATAGGGGGCTTTCTCAGAGATGGGTTTGGTCTGGTTTCGGCTTAGGCGACAAAGGTTTTGCTAGTGGCCTCGTATTTATACTTAGGGCTTATAGGGGCTTGCAAGGTTTCGGATATCCAGCCTAGGTTAATCTACTTTGCGGCAGGAGCACACCAAAAGATCACGGATCGAAATAGGTGTGTGTGCACACGTGTGTGTGAGTGTGTGAGTTTTGGCAACATCGGTTTTGTTTGCATCCAGGATGGGCACTCCCTCACCTTCCGGGTACAGCCGGTCATCTACGGAGCTTTCCTTGCAACTTGGAGACCCCACCACCCCGCCGACCAGAATGGTGAAACGTGAAGTGGCTTCTGAGGATCTTGATGCTAAGAAGGCCAAGGCTCGCACAACCTGCACGCCTCAGCTTTGCAAGATGGACCCAGTCCTGCTGGCTGCCAAAGTGTGCAGCAGCCCCCCCAAGTCAGCAAACAAGTTGGAGGAAGCAGGAACCTTGGGTGCCGCCCCGATGGCAGCCTCCCCTGTTGGGCCTCCCAAAGAACCTTTGATGCAGATCCCTCCACAGAGTGCAAGCATGCAACTTTTCGCTGAGAAGGCCAACAAGTTGATGAATGCAAGGGCCGATGCAGCTGGTCCAGGAGCTTTGCACTTGAGCTTGGCAACCGCACCAAGCGGCTGCTTGTCTCTTGTGCCGAACCCGAAAGCTGGTTGGCTTCTGCCCAGCAACGTACCAGCTCCCAAGTGCGACACGCTTGCACTTCCAACAACGGCAAACTCTGATGCCCCCAAACGTGTCACTTTTGCCGAGGCCACAAAGGCACTACCGCCGCCCCGAGTTCCAGAGCACCCTCCCAAGTTGAGCACTCCACTTGCAGAGCACCCTCCCAAGTCCAGCGCTCCAACTGCAGAGAACACTTCCAAGTCAAGCACTCCAGCTGCAGAGAACACTTCCAAGTCCAGCACTCCAACTGCAACAAAGGCCCCCGCAGCAGCAGGCATACTCAAAAACTCCGCACCGGCAAAAGCCACGGAGCCTGGCAACAGCAAGGTCAAGAATTCTAGGACAGCAGCTGAGCAAGACGCGGTCACGGAGCTTCAGAGGGAGGTAGCAAATTTGCAGATCACTCCAGGGGTACTTTGTCTGCATGCAGATATGTGCTGTGCGTAGCATAATTGTCATCATCATGTTGTGTTCTTGTGCCATCCGTTGCAACAGGCAACTGCAGTAGTTCCTACCGACTACAATAACCGCCAAGCCATGTTCGTGGACTTCAAGAGGACCCCATGCATGCACATACGTACATGTATGTATGTGCGAGTGATGTGTGTGCAAGCATTGCCCATACGAGAATGGTGCAGGATCATCACAGGGCAGAAGGAAAGCCTGGAAACGGTGCCACCCGAGATGACGGAACTTTGGAAGAAGGCCGTCAGATCGAACGCTCGTGCCGTGAAAACGGCACTCTTCAATAAATTTCTAGAAGCTGGCCAGCGTTGGAGCAGGTGTCTTGTCTGATTCCATGGCACATTTTGTGATATCACGCGAAGCTACTATAGCTATGGGGTACTCAACGCAACGATGTGCATGCGCCGAAATCTGACCTGAACCTTAAACCTTGAAGCCACCCTCCCCCACAGCCTCCTGCGTGAGCCCCTATAAAGCCCTCCAACCCTAAAGCCCCAAGCCCTATTTTGATCTATAACGCTGCAACCCTACACCCACAAAGCCCTAAACCCTCGAACTTTATGAAGACTTCTACAATCCCTGCTCATGAGTTTCCTAAGAGGATCCTGAGCTTCGTGGGTGAGGGTTTGGACGTTGGGGTAAGGTTTGGGATCTCACTATGAGGGTCCAGGATAGTATCATATTAATTGTACCCACAAACCCGCAACACACTGTATAGACCCCTATAACGCACCGAAGAACAAAGCCCTTCCACGAAAACCCAATCAAAATAGAAAGGTTCCGAAAAGGTTCTTGCATGGTGGATGGCTTGTAGGATCCTATTATAAGCTATAGCTAGCTATCCAACACGCAGTATCAAACGTGTACCCACAGCTGCATGGAACATACCGAAGCCGTATAAGAATCTACACAAACCCAACGTAGAAGACCGCTGAATGCCAAATGTAAGGATCCGCATCAACCACCGCCGCAGCAGAACAGATCGTGGCCGTGACAGGAAGCAGATGGGCCGTTGCCTTAAAGATGCAGGTTTAATGGTAATTCGATAGGGATTGTTACATATAGTGCTGGGATCAATCTTACCTAAGTTTGCAAGGCTGGCGCACAAGGGCTCAACTTCTTGTGATGTACAACGGGAATGTGGAGCTGGTGGACAGAATCGTGCAGGCTAAGAAAGCCTCGGGTCAGTGCAGGGCACACCCTGACCTCCCTGATGATGCTGACGCGACTCTCTACCTGGCCTCCTAGCTGCAAAAGCCTGTGAGTCGCTATATAGATAGTACGTATCCGGCACAGGTGCTGCTCGACATCTCCCACACGGATGACACGATCACGAATGACACGATAGAAATTGAGATGAACGCCGAGCTGGAGCGTGGCAGTCAGGCACATACTGTAATGAGCCGGGCTGCATAAACTGTTCAGCTCAGCGCTTCTCCTGGCAGGCTGAACGTGATCTTCTGGGCAATGGTACTCTTGATGCTATCTTGGACCCTGTGGGCTTCGGGGGCAGCAGTATGTCACATGCTGGCAACGTGGATCCGGGAGCTACCGGGTGCCTGGGGATGGTTGCGGGTGGGTCTGGAGATTTGGTGGTTAAGGGAAAGGGAAAGGGCAAGGGAAAGGGCAAGGGAAAGGGCCAGAATCCTGATGGACAGATGCCCACTTTTCCGAAGCCAAAGAGGAAGGCCAAGAAAGTGTGCCCCGACTATTATATCACGGTGTGTGTGTGTGTGTGTATGTGCGCGTGTGTGTGTGTGTGTGTGGGTGGTTTTGTTTTGTCGTCTTGCTTTGGCAATACGTAATTAATTGGGTCTGCATGCGTCTGAGGGATGCTATGCCGGAGGAATTGGGTGCTGCAATTCAGTGGGCAACCACAAAGCTCTCCAAGTGCCTTGGGGACTCGAAGTTGCTTGCCGTGCGCCTGACTTCGGTGCGCCATCAGGAAACGCTCCGTTCCCCGCCATAAAGGTTTTTCTGTCAGAAGCTCTTATAATTAAATATAGTGGGTTTATATATATATAGGGTCTTAAGTGCTATGCTATCTTATAAGGTGGAGCAATGGTTACACATGCGAATGATATCGATGCCAGCCTGCAGCAGCTTGCGCGAGTTGGCCAGGCCGAACTTCTGCAATGACCCTGCAGCTAAGGGTTTATAGGGTTTAGGGTTTAATAGACTGATTATATATAACCCTTATAAGGCTCCTAAGAGGGTTAGGGGCTTTGTGGGCGAGGGTTTGGGCTTTGGGGTCTGTACGGTTTAGGATCTCACTACGATCGGGTCCAGGAGCATTTTTCTAGCTATAGGGCTTATGGCTTTGCCCCGCAATTGCAGGCTGATTCAGAAGATGTTGTTCGTGCTTGCTTGAAGCTGGCTGCAGAGCGTCTGGAATGGTTCAGCCGTGATGCCGAAGACGCAATCCGTGTGTGCAAGCCCGCACCCAAGAAGAAGACAAAATCCAATGCGGACGAGGCATCATGACTTGGGACTGGGTGGGCTGTCGCATCATGAACATTTGTGTCACCTATAGCATCCCAGTCCCTGCACTCACCTGGTGCAAGACCTGCCTGCAGGAGGAGGAAGAAAACACCGATGATCAGAATGAAGACTGATCTGATTCTGCGATCATATCGATCATGAGCTTTCTATCTGCGTGTAGGGAAGTCACTTCAACCTTCAGCAATGGCCTGTGCATGCATGATATAGCCTGCGTGCAGAGCTAGACTGGCAATCCCCGCTTCGCAGACGGAAAGTGGTTGCAGCCTGCGCTTCTAAGTGCAGGCTGCTTTGCAACAATCAGAAGGGGGACCCTGTGCTGATTCATGCTCACATGTGCACATAGGTCTCGCGTGCCCTCTCGATTTCAATTTAGGGTAGAAGGTTTAGGGCGGTTATATATAAAGAAAATTAAACCCTTCTAACCCCTGATCCCTAGATAGGTTGCACCCTAAACCCCTTTTAATGTTGGGGACAGCTGATTCGCGCCTGGCTGTCACGAAACCCCAAACCCCTAAACCCTGAACCCCGAAACCCTCAACCCATGTAATACACATGTAAACTTAATACTTTATATAATTAAGCTAGCCGATACTGACGGAGTTTCATTGCACATGAGCCCGGTACCTATATAGTTGTTAGTCCAATCTAGCTGCTATCCGTTTATACATCCCGTGTTAAGCATATGTACATATAACCCTTACCCCTTAAAGCAAACCTGTCCGGGTATCTCCTCGAGAGAACCAGCGAGATGGTGCGCATGTGCAGCAGCCTCGGCATGGGTTTTCGCGAAACATGCAAAATGCATGTGCTGTGTTCCGTGCAAACTGCGGGGAAATCAAGACAGGTTGTGTGAAGCTAACGGTGTGTGGCATGAACTCGGCCTTGCATTATACTTAGCCGGCTAGCTGCACATGTTGCTGCAGGACCTATTGGGCAAAGAGCTGCTCTGAATGAGACCCGGGCGGATGCAACCGCCCTCGACGCAGTTGAATGGTCACAGCCTGGGCAAGCATCTGCTGGAACAAGTTCATGCAGAAAGAGAAAGCGGGAAGAGTTCACCCAGGATGTACGTGATTTAAATGGGCTTAATGGGCTTAGTGGGCGTAGGAATGTTGACATGTGCCATGAACCCCATGCAGGAAGATGATCCCGAGAATTTCAGCGAATCCCTAATCGTCAACTATGCCTCTGGCAAAACAAGTGCATCGGGTGCTTCTGGGCTGCATTCATTTATCCTATCGGGGTAGCTGGCACACATGTGCATACAACAACTATATGTGTGGCCTGCATGGAAGACTGCATGCATGTGCTTAGGTACAAGAGCTTGCTGCTGGAGCTATGTCGTGGTGCAAAGCACGTGGCGGTGCACCTGAACGCAGTGACATGGTTTCAAGAATGTCTCGTATGGGTGCCAAGGGCAAACACAAGCAGAATGCGGAAAGGGATCTTCAAACGGCAATTCGATCATATGGACGCTCCCTGGGTTGCGAAATCGAGTACTGCGATGTGAGATTATGGGATCCTCGTGAGAATGAGATCTACACCGAAAAGCTGCCTGCTACTTGACTTGCATAATCGGATTTTGTTTGCATGCAATTATACAATCATGTAGCTTCCATTCGAGGTTCTTTTTCCGGACACACTGGCCCGAGCTGTTTGGTCGCAGGGCAAGGATCTCTTTGAACTGATCTTTTTTGGGAAGGCAGGGAGGGCTGGGGCTCGGAGGTTTTGGGACAACGCAAAGAAAAATTGCCCGTGGTACCCCAGCCATCTTTCGGAGCAAGAACACGATGGCCTCCTGCCTACATCTCTCTATGGGGATGATGTCCAAGCTTATCGGACCCTTGCTTGCAATAGAAACCGTTGACCTTTTCTTTAACGGAATCTGCCCGCGCAAAATATAAAGCGATACAAAAAGGTTGAGACCCCGAAACCGTTTAGGAACAGCGATCCTGGTGCAATTTCTGCCATAGGATGGAGTAGTGATCTGAGCCGCGGAAACGACCCGCTTCTTCAGTACCATCTTGTTTCTGTTTATTCTGAATACTGCGCATGCGAAGAGACGTACAACGATCTCATGGAAGCCCTCTTGCCTCGCTTTGCATCGCTATGCAGCCGAGATGAAAGCATCAACCCATGGTGTGCACACAATATCCGTTTTGTCTTGACAGGAGTGCAAGGTGACTTGAAGTGGGTTTGCAACCAATATGGACTATATCATTACAACAGCAATGCTTGTTGCAGTCGGTGCGACGCAGTGAAAAGCCATGCTGACCCAACAAAAACCATTGCTTGTTTCACGGATGCCGCTTCCTTTACCGCAATATCACACGAAGATTTCATCAACACAGCTTGCCTCGATGAATGGCCCAAGCCTATGATTGCGGGTGTCCGACTGGAGCGATTCCTCCACGATGTTTGCCACAGTCAGCTTTTGGGGACTGGGAAGGTTCACAACGGCAGCCTTCTCATATATCTGTGTGAAAGTGGCGAGTTCAGTGCCACTGGTGCTTTTCCACTGCAGGGCGACTACGCCGTGAATCTTCAGGTTCAGCTGAAAACTGCCTATGTTGATTTCAAAGCATGGTCCAAGGCGGAAAAGCTAATTGTGAACCAACCCCGTTTCACGGTCTCCCGTTGCAACCGCAAAAATCGAGTTTGCCACCCCTGCCTAGCTTCGAAAGCTATTTCGGGCAAGGTTGTTTCTTTCTGGTTAGCGGCGAGATGTTGCGAACGAGCAAATCGGACTGCCTGCTCTTCTTTGGACCAGTTGGTTGCAACTTGTGCTTGGGCTTATGCGGCCATGCTCACTGGCATGGATGAGGCTGACTTGGTTTTGTCAGAGCATGAAGCACAGAGCATCTTTGATTCTGGTATGCTTTACCTACAGAGCCACGCTCGCCTACGTGCCTTGAGTGCTTCCATCCCGAAGGGAAAAGTTCCATTGCGAAGCAGCTTTACGCTGATGCCGAAACACCACTACCTATGGCATTCCCTGCATGATCTGCGAGACACGATGGTCAACACGATGCTTTCCTTTACAACGGTATGTTTAGCTATAGACCCCCTAAACCCTAAACTCCTAAACCCTATATAGACCTAATAGCTGTTATGCCCCCTTAAGGTACCACGATTACGTTATAGTAAACAGTCGTACTTGTAAGGAATGCCTACACTTTGCTGGCAGCTGAAAGCTGGGTCGGAACCGTGGGCCGGATGGCCAGGATACTTGGCTGTTCTCTGCATGCTTTTCCTATACACATTTAAAGGGTAAGTATCGCATATATAAAATGCATCTTCGAACGGCTAAGGAGCTGTCACAGAAGTACTGTCAGCAAACGTACAATCCAAAGATATTTATGTATTCTTCGAATCCGAATGAGCAAGCTTGCTCGTGCCAACGGCCTGAGCGTCGGACGTTCCATGCGATCGCGCAGGTGAAAGCCGGTCCAGCACATGGTCGCGCCGAGGGATAGGGCATGGGGGTCATGAAGGTCTATATAAGGTAAAAGCCAGAAAGTTGGAATATGATTCTCCTAACCCTTCTACGGTAAATTATGGGGTATCCTACCATGAAACCATATTCCAACTTTCTGGCTTACACTGTAAGGCGTAAGGACTTCGGCTTTTCTGGTTTTGCAGTGTTTTGAACTTGGGTTGTTGATTTTGTTCAAATACGTGGTAACGGATTTCACTGATCTTGTAAGGGATGCTAGTGTTATCTGCAAAGAGTGTGGCTCCACCATTCGCATATGTGTGATGGTTCTCCGGAGAAGCCAAAATCCTACAGATAACCGTATTTGCCCCCTTGACTATTGTATCAACACCATCAAGCATGAACCAATCCATGCATTATAAGTGTCATCCTGGATGAACACCCTATTGGACCCTTAGGGGCTTTCATGGTGAAGGGTCTGGGCTTTCGGGGGTCTTGGGTGTCAAGTCCGTGAACGCCCCAACTTGATTGAAAGCCCCACCCCAAAAAGAGCATTAGGGTACTGTATACTTATAATCAGGAAATGGAAATTCTTTAAGCCCTTATATGAATTACATACTTTAGACCCTAGATGGGGCTTCCTTTAACTTGGCGGGGGTCGTACACTTTCAAGGCACAAGTTAAGTTGAACACTAATCATAAGAACATTCGATTTACCGGATTCCTGGGTGGCTGCAGGAAGGAGCAAACTATGCGCAGGTCCAACCTGTGTCCCCGCTCCTTCTGCAAAGCACCCTCCTTAGGGCTACTGACTATAACAGGTAGAGGATGTCACCCTTGAGCCCAAGCACAAACCCAAACCTGGAACCGAATGACCCGAATTACACCCCCGAACCCCGAACCAAATCCGAAAAGGCTTCGCCTCCACCCCCAGCACCCATTCCCAACCAAACACGTTTGGTCTGACCATCCAGAACCCGAATCGCTACACACCAAGTTGCATTGGAAGAAATGTACTGGCAGAATCTTCAAAATATGCGCTTCTAATACAACGCTCTCTCGGTGTATGGCTGTGTCAGTATCCAGCCACAAGGTATCCACACCTGTGTCACAGGTTTGGCTTCTGAGGGGCGACCCTGACAAGTTTGGGACAGTTTGGGCTCAAGATTTAGGGTTTAGGGCATGGCAGCGAAAGAACAAGAACCCTGCAGCTTTAGACCAGATCTGTGCGCATGGCAGACAGCAAACACCGGTACATTGCAAGGAGGATAGACTGAGGCCTCAATAATGTCTCCTACTTGGGGGGCTAAAGCTTATCGACAGAACCTACTCCAGGCTACTGGAGCTTATCGCCTGGAGAGGCAACTGACGGTGTGCTCGTCTCTTGCATCCGGGTCTTACCAAGATTCAGGTAAACCATTGTCGGCACCAGGCTCCTGCTCAGTCTAGGGTGATTGGGCACAGGATATTTCAATGTCTACAATTATTATTGAGTTTTTGCGCAGGAAACAAATGTATGGTATATATCCGAGTCACCCAACATTCGGCTATCTGGCAATTTGCTGGACCTACCTTCGGAAGTAATTGCAGACCTTGACCCCGAAACTCAACGTATCACACCCCATACCAATCGCAATCCCGATTCCAGACCTCGACAGTCGAGTTCGAACATTGTTTTCGCTGACCGGTTCTATACTTAGAATCCTACCGGAACATATACTAAACTATTACAGTAACCCTAAACGAGCAAACTCAATCCACAAGTGAGGGTTATTGTTTTACCTTTCACGCCCAATCCTGAACCCCGAACTGCGAAATCTCAAAACCGTCAACACCCCTATAAACCCTAAACCCCCAAACCCTAAAGCCTAAACCCCCAGAGCCTAATTAGGTCCGAACTTGCAGCAACTTGCAAATAATACACGGGCCTCACATGGCCTCACTGATTCGACCAGGGGTTCGAGCTATCTTAGACTAGTACAGCATCGTATTCTTTTTTTACGCAGTACTAATACTAAGAATCAAAGTGATATTACGAGTACTAGTTGTACTGTTCTTGGTCACTATTCATAGCACTATTACCAGTATTGCTGCTTGAACTATATACGTATTATTTAGTGTCATTATAGAAAACATTCTCATTTGCTTATTATTAATCAGGCTTCAAAATTTGGATCCTTAAAGGAAGATCAAGCCTCGCTCCAAGCACAGCAGCACGGTGAAGAGCTTTGAAATGCCTGAGCATCCGGGGACCTTCTCGCTGTCTCTATGCCGTTCAGAAGGGAGAGAAAGCGAAAGAGAGAAAGACAAAGAGACGGAGAAGAGAGGCAGAGAAAGAGAGAGAGAGAGAGAAAGAGGAAGAGACGGAGAAGAGAGGAAGAGAGAGAGAGAGAGAGAGAGCGAGAAAACTAAGAGAGAGGGAGAGAGTTGGAGAGAAAGCCAAATAAACAAACATCATCTCCAGCATGTGTAGATGTATAGTACCGTCAAACGACGAACAACGAGCAAGACATGTACATGTACACACCACCTGTGCATGCAATTCGCATCCCAGCAGCCGCCCTTGGGCCAGTCACGGGTGTCTGCACCTTGGTATGGACAGAAAGGTTCCGGATTGAAGACTCATGCAAGAAGCAGGCCTCAAAAGGGGTGAGTTTCGGAATAAAGGGCTGAGGGGAACCCGTTCCGGCAGCTCTAGCCATCAAGCTCATGCCACACTCCCGCGCCTGTGACCAGTTAACGTTGAATCATTACGAGAAAAGTTTCGGCACTCTTTCGGCACTCGTTCGGAATGGGAGAAGTTGTAGTTGTAATCAAAGGAACGAAAACGAACCAGCAACGAACACAAACGCACCCAAAGCCGTGACCTGATGGACAAGCATCTCCAGCCGCGAAACCCTGAAGCCTAAACCTTCCACATCCTTCCACCATAGGCCCATACACTGTAAACTTCTAAACCTTGAAACCTAAAAGCCAATACCATGTAGAACAGCCATGGAACCCTCAAAAAACCTCTAACAGGAACCCTGCAAGCTGCTCCCTTGCTTCCGCCGCGAGGTCGCGGCACAAAGCGGGCTCCCGGTTCGCTAACCGGCAGCTGGCCTGGTCATCAAAAGGTTCCTTTACAGCTTACTTTAAACGATTTCTCCAAGTGTCCGTTTTCGGGTCATGGAATGTCATTTCGGGTTCCTGTCAGGTCTGCTTATCGGGGTTCCTTTCAAGGCTCCTTCAAAGGTTCTCGTGAGTCATCAGTGCTAGTTCAGACTGGGGGCTCAGGAATCAAAGGAAACCCTCCACTTATATGTTGTTCCTTGAAAGACATGTCTTCGGGGCTCTATTGGGTTTAGGGGCTTGGGGGCTTTACTATAGGATTCCGGAATCCGGAAGTGCAGGTTCAAAGGTTTCGGGTTCGGTCAGAGCTTCGGGTTTTTGAGTGTTCAAGGCTTTGTTTAGGACATGGGGTTGGGGTTTAAGGCCTTGGATTTCCTGATTTTCACCGAAATTCTAAACCCTAATTAAATTAAACCCCAATAACCATAACAAACTCCTAAACCGCTGCAAAGGACGAGCAAAAGGATGGTGATGGAATTGGTGCGGATGACGACTACGGTGATGCCATGCTGGCGCCGCCGTCGATGCTCTAGTGATGCCCTGGCGGTGGTTTACGATTTAGGGTGTGGATGGTGTGCGGGCGGTGCTGAGTGATGGCCTCGTGGTGGAGGTGAAGATGAGTGCTGGCTACATATGAAGCAGGCAAGAGTGCATCGCCACCTTCAATTCTTCGTGCAAGGGCCGATCTCACGTGGCAGCAGCGAGGATTCTTCTTCTCTTGGGGCAACTACCTCGAGAATTGATAATTACTCCTATGGTCCAATGTCCGAGCCCCTGTCCAGACTGGCGTCGTCGAAGCAGGTGACCAGGACCTAGGTGTTTGTGGAGTGGCAGTTGCACCCGTTGGGGCTTTAGGGTTTGGGGTTCAGGGTCTAGGGTTTCGGTATAATGTCGGGTTTAAGATTTACAGGAAGGCCGCAAACCGGAACCGAAACGCCATCCAGCCCTCCCCCATCCAACCCTCCATCCAGCTCCTACAGCCATCCTATCCAGGCCAGCCCCAACCCTCCATCCATCCAGCTTTGTTTGCAGCCCGCCAACCCTCCATCCATCCAGCCCTCCACCCCTCCCTCCATCCACAGCCTTGAGCCAACCCACCTCTATCCAGCCAACCCCCTCCGGCCAACCCTCTGCCTCTCCACCCCAACCAACCTTGAAGCCACCAGCCCTCCCCCTCCATCCAGCCTTCCGCAACCCCCATCCTCTTCCTGCACTCTCCCCCCACCATTCCAGCAGCCCCCCTCCATCCAGCCCCTCCAGCCCCCTCCATCCAGCCGGCTCAAGGTGTGGAAGAGGCTGCTGGGCTGAGGGTTCGGGTGCTTTGGTGGATGTAAGGGAATTAATAATTAGACTGGGGGTTTGGGGGTTCCTGATCATATTTATAGTATCATATACCCCCCCAAAGCCTATTCCAATTATCAGGCCCCTACATTATTCTCCGACAGTGCATCCCTCCCGCAGTAGACAGGGGGGATAAGGCTTTGGGATGGTTTGCTGCTGAGGCAGCCAGACAGTTTAGGATTGATTATAGGTTTCACGAACCCTAAACCCTGAACCCACGATTCCCGGGCCAAGCTTCATTTAAACTACAAGATGCCACATAGCCTCGGTACCTCTATCGTTGCCTACACCTCACCTACACTACTGCGCATCAAGCTCGGAGATCACAACCCTTTGTTGAACGAGGTCTCTCTGAAGTGCCTCCAGCAGTGTGATACGGTTGATGATGTAAATCTTGCATCACCCATAAGAAGGAATATACCATAATTCCCATAGTTTAGGTCCTTAAGGTAATGCAGGATTTATATCATCAACTGTATCACCACTTGAACTCCAAAGCTTCGACCCTCGGTCGCAGATCTTTGGGGCCGGCACTCCCAAAGACTGCTTCGCTGCCTGCACAGCATGTGGGCATGTGCTCACTGAAGTGCAGACACTATCGTGGCAGCCCTTGAATCAATCGCAGGGCCTAAATATTCACCAATGCCATTTTTTTTGGGGGGGTCCTCATTACAAGCATAGTGTAATATACCCCCAAACCCTATATGTCAATAAATATTATTGCGCCCTGTATATGTGTATGTGTGTGTATATATATATATATATATATATATGTATAATGTGGATGGAAGCCTTTTGGCCTCGGACACGATGTTGGCGTGGTGGTCATGTTCCGAAGATGGGGGAGATGACGTCGTGATGTTGCGCTGTGGAGATCAATTTGACTAGAAAAGGCCTGCAATGGCCAAACATAGAGACCACGAGGATCTTTGGGTCCATGACCGTGGTGATGATGCTGTGAGAAGATGATGCAATTGCGGAGGTGCTGCTGCTTCTGCACCTGCTGCTGTTGCGGATAGTAGTGGGCGACTGATCATAACAAGAATGGTGATGAACCTCGCAGTGATGCAATTTCTGGCGCCGCCGGTGCTGCTGCCAGTGCTGTAGCTGTTGCTGGTGGTGCTGATGGTGGCCCTGGGAGACTGCAGCGCTTTGCGACAGTGGTGACGAATGTACTTGTTAGTGCGGCGGTGAAGCCAGGGTAGGGCTTGATGATGCTAGCGGCTAGGCTAGCGTGGCTGAGGCTGTGATGATGGTCGACATGACAGGAGTGGAGAGGAACATTGTGGAACCGTTGTCTCATCACAAGGCCGACTGCTTGTGTAGGAGATCCGGGAAGCTAACTCCACGGCTGTTTTGCAAAGCACCTCCGCTCTGCAAGAATAAGCACTTACGGTATTCTCTTATCGTCCCCACTAGACCTACACTAGGCTAGAATATACCCCAAACGTATTGCAGGCGCTTTTCTGTTGGAGCCAGTACAACCACGGAGTCTGCGGATCAGGGCGTCGGCCTGGGACGGTAACGGTAAGCGTTTTTGTTCGTTCACCTGGATTTTTAATTTCGGATTAGCGTGGGTTCAGGTTGAGGCTTTGAGGTTCATGGTCACGAGTTCTTGCTTGTAGGATGGAAGGGAAGGTTTTGGCATTCAACATTCGGGATAACAAGGGGGGTGCTGGAGCTTCTCTGAAGCCGCCCCGAAATCCCTGACGAGTGCCTAGGACCCAGTAGCATAATCTGATACTATTCGGGCCTAAACCCCTAAATTCCCACCATTGAACCCCTAAGTTTCTACTAGTATTCTCTTCAAACTACCCTGAACAAGCTGGTGGCCAGTCCAGCTTTTGGTGGCTTCGGGTTGTGGATTCGATTCAGGTCTTTCGTGGCTTTGTTGGTCCTTCATGGATCAGGCCGTTGGTTTAGGGTTTAGGGCTCAGTATACTGTAGGAACCCGATTAAGAAACCTTGAAGCTTTATTAGGGTTCCTTATATTATGAATCCTACCATTTTGGGGGTTATAGGTTCAGAGATTCTTAATCAGGTTCCTACATTACCCAACTCCGAAGCTCGAGCCCAGGAAGATCCTAGAAGCAACCCTTACAAAAGCCTCGAGCGTAGATGTTGAGAGCAGAGCTCCGTTCGAACACAGAGGTGGAAAGGAGTAATATAGGGGCTTAATATTAGAAAATGGCTTTGGGGCCCATTGTACTATGATTGTAGTGAGGAACCCCCCCAAAATAGTCTTGGTAATTGTTTCGGCCCCTACATTCGACGAGGTCACAAGGACAGGTGTTATTGACAACCATCGTGGAGGCTGCTGTCTGGGCCGTAATAAGCATAGAGCAGAGTGCACAAGTCATGCATAATGACTCCGCTAATTCTGTAACCTGAAGTTCAACAGGTTTTCTATGTTCAGCGCTATGTGAACAACCACCACAAAAGGACTAGGTTGGGCCTCTACAGAACACACTCCTACATTCAAAGAAGAAGAGCGTCTCAATCTCGATACCCAGAGCAAAAGTACATCCCAAAGCTGTCAAAAACAGTCCAACCTTAAGCCCCAAGGCCCACAGCCTCAACCCTTACGCGTAAACTCTCCGATCTGCTTTGAGCCCTTGAAGGAACCGTTTATGGAACCCAAAACCTTCAGCTAGGTGGCTCTTTGAAAGGAGGTGTGACCCCTTCCGGCAGCGGAACACGGAAGGCGTTCAAAGTCATCGATATCTGGTGGTAGAAACCCATAGTGAAGACCAGGTCAATGAGGGCTTGCCTCATGGTGCAGAGTTTAGTTAAAGCGGAGGGCTAGGGTCTAGTGTCCGGGCTTGCTTGTGGCTCCTCCCAGGCCCTAGGCTTTCTGTTGGGGCTCTACCAGGGTCTGATTCTAATGAGGGTTCAGGGTTTAGCTGCTACAGTGCTTCAAGTGTTCCTTTAACGAGACGGCTTGACTTGGGCTACAGGGTTCGGTGTTAGGTTTTCAATGTCTAATCTGCGATGCATTGCGTAGAGGACAACTTGAGGTGACAATCGCAAACCGGCCAGCCGTCTGGGATCTCTCCTTGACTCTGTGGGGTACTACTACAACTACTACTACGAACACTGCTGCTACTCCTGCTCGTACCAAAACTTACGCTGACCCTAGAACCATTCGTTGCAGGTTATTTGGCATCCCATGGCCGTAGATTTGCTGTAGTGGGAATGCTCGGACTACTACAGATGACAACCGTAATTATCAACAACAGCATGCAACCAACAAATGACAAAGGACCCAAGGATCCTACCTACCTTCACGACCCAACGGCACGGACGATAACTGAAGATAGGGGTCCTGAGACTCGAGTCTCCACATGGGAATTGAGCCTCCAACACTTTTCAGGTACATGTCGTCCGTAAGGTATATGGAGCATAAAACCCTTACAGAAACATGCACTCGGAACCCTGATAAACCCTAAACCCCCTAAACCCTGAAACCATTCCAGGCGACTCCCCACCGACCGCGGCCAAGGCAGCTTCGTGGGTTTGATCTGAGACGCGCTTCGTGGCGTGGAGCTCGACTGCATATGCATAAACCTCAGAAATCAGGGATTTAGGGTGCAGGTTCTCTAGGCTTAAGCTTCGGGTATATGGTTTTGCTGAGCTGGCTTTCACGTGCGATCTGTGGCAATTAAGCTTAAACAGCCAACACTGCACCAACAGGCACTTGAGGGTCACCTTAGAATTTCATCTCAACGGCCACAAATTCAGCGTGCAACCTGCGCTGCCTAACCCTAGCCAATTGTGATTTCAACGACTTCAGCGTCAGACATACTTGGTGACGGCGTTCGGATGGAGGGACCCGCGGCCCCTGGTGTTGTGTCGGTAGGGTGTGGGACGGGGGAATCCCTTCATCCTTGGAGGACTTCGATCTGGTCTGGACCAGAAGGCCAAGGCCTACCCGGAGGCTCCAAAGTAGTTCCTTTTGAGGTTAATTACCTTATAGGATTCTAAATATGAACCCCCAAAAGGAACTACTATGGAGCCCTAGGGTAAACACTACGACCTTACAGATCGAAACTCTGAGTCTAAGCGCTTACCAAGCGCACAATCAAAAACCCGAGACCCCTAAGCCCAGGAGCTGCGCGTTGCTGCGGCGTCATCCCATCAGCTGAACCAGGATCCACATTCGCTTTGATGCTGGCGATGGCCTCCGAGAAGGGCTTGCAGAAGGGTTCCCCTCAGGGCCCCTACCAGTACGCCAATCGCGCACACATGCACAGCGCTTGGCTCCAACATCAAATATTGCGAGCGACATTGATACTCTTCTCGCTGTCACTATCCGTCTTCCCTAAGCAGGAAGTGTACGCAGCCTAAGTGACCCCCTCAACTCCTCGACCTCCAGATGCAAAAATCCTTGATTGATCTGACTTTCTGGCGTCTAGATCTATACTGTGGGGTGTGGGGTTGAGCTCCAAAGCGCAAAACCTGCAACGCCGCACGGGCACGGGGCCCGAATCCCTGGCAAACACAAACGCAACCTGCCCACCCACATGCATGCACCCAAACAAACCCTATACCTCCAAGGACCTCATAGTTCGGGCCCTAGACCCCTTAAACACCCCATAATAGGGTCCCTGGAGTCATAGGGAAACACAACAAAACAATGAGGCAACAACTCACAAAGCCTGAAACTGCCAAATGCCGGTGCATGCCCGTGAAGGAACCCCTGACGAAACTCTGAGGTACGGCTTTGGCAACATTCAAGCACTGATACTAAAACCTTGTAGACCCCTCCAAGGAACCCTTACAGGAACCAATAAGGGAATCTTCGACAGGAAGACTTGAAGGCAAAACCTGACTGGAGCCCAAAAGAATAACATTGCAAAGGGCAAAGGGATGACTGGGTCTTTTCAGTTTCAGCTTCGCCTCCGGGACTACACCGGCTTTGAGGGCCAACTTCTCATGGGCAAACCACTCAAACCTCGGTGAGGTGATCGTGGCTTTAGTTTTTCTTTTGGAGCTCCTTTTCTCCTGTGCCCCGAAAGGTCTGAGTGGCTTTAGGTTTATGGGGTTTGAGGGTTAATATAAGGACTTGGATAAACCTCGGAGGGCTCATTGCAGCTTCTGCTGGGTACGGTCAATTAGTGTGCGTTACTTTTGCGAAGATTTGCACTTTAAACTAACAACTTTCCAGGCCCAGTGTAGTAATGTGAGAAGGGTCCTTCTAGCCTTCATGCTTGACGACTCTCATACCCAAAACAAAGGGCCGGCCCTTGCACAGACTTAATCCGCCCAGTGTCGTAAGCTCGCTTCCCGGCTCGTATCCACCCCAACATCCAGAAGGTTAAAAGGATTGGTTACGTTCCGACGCTTAAACCCTGTGGCAAGTCGGCATTTGAAACTACGGCTCGTCACACGTATCAGCAAGTCCCCAAGGCACCATCACGTAGAGAAGTCTGTGCTATGGCTGCTAATCACGCTCCTCCGAACTGCACCGCGAACATCGCGCAGACAACCTCATTACTGCGCCAAACCGTAACTTCAGTTCTTTCAGAAGCCCACCTTTCGGAACTCCGAGGGATCCCCAAGCAAAGCCACCGTCTGCTGTTTGAGACAATACCTGAATTACTCGTGCAAGATCGTCGGGAAACAACAGGTTAACCTTTGGGGTTATGTACGGATCAAAATACCCCCAAGAAAGTTAAAGGATACCTACTATTTGCTTAAGAAACCCCCCCAACAATATAAATAGTAATCCCTATATTACCCCCATATAAGGAATATATATTTTTTGGGGGGGGGTTCTTAAGCAAATAGTAGATACCTACTCTGCTACGAGGAATCTGCTAGGATCCTGTTACGTGCTGCCTGATAGCTGCGAAAGCCACTGGGCCCCGACGACGAGGATGCCAATCTCATAAAGGTCCTGGGACTACTCGGGTCAGGATAAGAGCCAACAACAAATCGGAAGAAGAAAACATGGTTCAACTGTGTCAGAGTAGATTCCTAAACAGAACGATAGTGCAGCAGGATGACATGATGACGACACCGGCAGAGCAGGCCGCCCCCACAGGCGTTCCCCTCGTGTAATTACTGGCGCTCCAGAGGCACCTGACTTTCCCCACCACAGTTCTTCCCCACTTGTGTGATGCCCTTGCAGAGTGCACCACACTGTTTGGGGAATAGTTCATGCTTCTGTGGTTGCGCAGTCAACTAGAAATAGATCGTCGATGTTGACGAAGCATCCCGTTGGCAGGTGCCTCCAAGGAAAGGCTCCGCCCCGAACCCGCAATCCGAATCCCTGGACCCTAAATCCTAGGCCTAGGCATTCAATCCGAGTCCCTGAACCCTATGAGCCTTCAATAACCCTGAACCCAAGTTCCTTAACCCTAAACCTACAATCAGGCAGAGTCTGGATTTGGGTCATTTTTGGGTGAGCAGCGCCAGTCTGGCTTCCTTACCACTGAAAGAACAAAACACATGCACTCACATACATACCGACCAAGCCAGAGGTGTTTTGATTTCTGGCCTATATTAGGGAATTCAGCCTTAAATCAACGTAATGTTGTAATGTTTCCAGACCCGTCTCATTTAAGCTGTTGTCTTTAAAAGTTTCCAGGGTCTCGGAGGAACCACTTTTGATGGTAGCATGTCCTAAGGATCGTCAGGCTCTGAAGGCTTCAAGTAATTGTGGGGTATGGGCTCTGATTCCGCAGGTTGCATCATTTGTTTTCAGATAAAGGGGCTAGGATTTTGCGGCTGCCTGGAACCCAAAAGTATCTAGAATACTAGGCTTTTACAGGGGTTGGGCAATTCTTGTTCCTACTCGTGGGTCTTTTTTGTCATTCGTGGTTACAAATGAAGGATGTGATCTACCTGCAACCATCAGGTTTTGAGCTCGAAATGGACAGCATGTTGAAGAGCGGCTAGCATTTCGTCCCCCAAGGGTCCTAGGCTGTGTTATGGGGGGGATACTTTCCCAAATCATAAAAGTACCTACTCTAGAGACTATAGAGATCCATTCTTCCATAATTTAGGTACTGAGGCCCTTTCAGAGTCGCGTAGTACGGGAAGCTTGTGCAATAAAGTAGATGCGAGGTCTCTAACGTACACCATGTATTTAGAGTTGACGCTTCCTGCATCCTTTCATCCTACGGGCAGGTTCATACCGCAGTGCAGAATAAGGCAGTGTAGGCGTTGTTTGTGAAACATGTGTGCATACATATACTCATATATATATATATATGTATGTATGTATGTATATATATATATATATATACACACATACGCACACACACACACACACACACACACACACACGCGCGCGCGCGCGCGTAAGCATTCCATAGGTCTGGTTTTAATCGTCCAAAAACTCTAAACAGAAAAGGCTTCAACCCGAAACCCTAGACCCAAAAGCCTATGGCCTAAACCCTGTGCCTAGACTCAGACAATGGAAAATAAGAAGCTGTCAAGCTGCTGCTGGGCATTTGTTGTGATGACGACAGAAGCTGCCTGGTGCCAGGCTTAGGGAGCTGGATTGCTGGTTGACACAGAGCTGACCCACATCTTCAACCTTTAGAGACAAGGGCCTTGATAGTTAGAACACTTGTTGGGCAGTTATCCAGGAACTATAAGCGGATACCATTGCTTCTTTACCGTCTTTACCCGTCATAGTAGCCTTGAGCGATTGGCTTTGCTTCTACAGTGCCGACAAAGAGTCACCTGCATCTTCTCTGAGACCTGCTCTGAAATTGCGGCGGAATGCAAGCGGCCCGAAGCCCAACACTTCCTAGAAGGAGTCCCATCACTTGAGAGCTCCATCAGAATCATGTTGTCCACCCCAGCAGGCCCCAGCAGTGCCACAAACCCCGATGTAGGAACCTGATTAAGAAACCCTGGGCCCATAAACCCGAAATTAGTAGGATTCATGCAAGGAACCCTACTGAAGGCCCAAGGCTCCTTAGTCAGGTTCCTACATGAGGCCATGTGGGCTTTCCAGGGGTCGAGCTGAGGCAGCCAACAAGACGCCTTTACTGGAAAACTAGGTTGGAGCAGATTCAGACGGTTTAGGATCGGCTGCGCGCCACCCTGTGCTTTAAAAACCCTCCGTAAACCCGAAACCCTTTTTTTGAGCAGGGGCTGCGGACCCGAAACCCTAAACTCTCAGCACGGACTGAGGCGCCACCTTAAACCCTTTTTGCACAGACTTGTATATGCCGGCCTGGATGTCGGAAGACAGAGCCGCTGCACAAAACCCTCAACCCACAACCCCGAAACCAAACCCCATGAGCCGAACCTAAACCGGCCGAGCAGCCCATTCGCTCGGCGAGGCCACCGATTTGAGGGGAGCTGACCATGGCGTTCCAAGGACCCACCTTAGGGCGAAAAATCAAACTAACAATAACAAGACTAATGGAAAGGCTGAATAGAAGCAAACATCATCATAAGAATGATAATAGAACAAAGGCTAAGTAGATAGTTCATATCATCATCATATAATAAAGCTAGCAGTAGTAGGAGCAACAGTAACCCGTGAAAGGGCTCTTGCAGAGGGAAGAAGGAAGCTGCAATACTGGTTTCAGGTGCAGGACACACCTTAGGATGTAACGGGTTCCTTTCAATGCTTCCATCTAAAGGGTTGAGACGAGAAGCAAGGCGTAAGGTGGGGTTTGGGGTTTATCAGTAAGGCTTGATGATGAATTCGGAGGTTCCTGAAGCGTTTCAGTTTCCGCTGAGGTGCGAGTAGGTTGGGACTCACAGAGACGCGGAAAGGCTGCGATTGATATGGATAACTTGTAAAACGCTACAATAGAAGAGAACATGAAGCATTGACCGCAAGGCCGCTCTAAGGTGGAAGTTTGTCCTGGTGTTCTGCTTTTTGATGTACAGATGCACTATGTGTGTTTTCTTGCAGGTGTGTGTTTTACCTACGGCCCAGGCCATACATATGCTATATGTGACTTGCGTCTCGGATGCTGTTGTGCTTGCCGAGCCACCAGGGAGCCATCCTCGTTCGTAACAGCAAAGCCGCCTGCACTCGCTTGCTTTGTTCAGGGTCGAGTGCTTAGGGCCGCGGCTTCAGGCTCCTTAGATGAGGCGGGTTTAGGGTTCAAGTGGCAGTGCGGGCATGGACAGCTTATGGCTGCTGGCTTGATGCTTCTGATGCAATAGCCCGTGGCTTTGGGCCGACAAAACCCTCAAACCGTCACCCGTTGTGGAGTGCCGCAAAAGCGATGCATCGAGAGCCTAAGCATTCCCCTGAAGCAAAGCGTAGCCGCGTACCCTACGAAGAACGAGATGCGCTGAAACTCCGCACATTCCAGGCATAGGGTTTAGGGTCGGAGCAATAGTGCAGTGAGTACTTCACTCTAGGTTAAAGCTACAACAGACTCGAGCAAATGAGGCAGCTCAAAGCTCAAGAACAACATGCATCTATAAGCCTTCCTTAAGGACCAAACTGACCCTTAAAAGTAGAGGTCCTATACCCTCATACTATGAAACCCTATATCGTGTTTAGGACTCCTTTCGTCCTTACAAGGTTGCTCTAAGCTGTGACCACCCGGCTGCCCCGCGCTGCCTTTCGCACCGGTCTTTCCACGATCGTCGATGATGCGGTCCTTAGTCGTCCGCCGTGGGCGACTAAACCTACAAAGCTCTATAGGTCAGTAGTTGAGTTTTTTCCCTCCCGCATGGCTGGAATCAATGCCCACTCTCGAGGTACTTGAATTGTTTTATTTGTGTGTTTTTGACTTTGGGTTTTGGGCCCAACCTACGGGTCTGAGCACCTATATGTTTCTTGAAAAGAGCTTGTGGTGGCTACCATGCACTCCTGAACTCATATCCCATCTACCCTGAGCAGACAGACCCTAACCCTAAATTAGGGCTTAGGGTTCCCGAAACCCTGCAAATCAAAGCCTTAGCAGAAGAAGGCTCAGGAACTTAGGGTTTTACAGTTTTGCATAGCAAGGTGTTAACAAACTTACTGTAATTATCCACGACAATCAAGCGTGCAAGTATGTGTGTGCACTTATATATGTATATACGGAAATCTTATTTCATATAACCTGCCAGGAATGTCCATATCATATAGTTACTATCTATCTACATATATGTATACATACACCTGTATCCCTTTCTGCAGATTCGTTATTCATGTATCCGCTCATGTACACGAGTGCCGATTCTGGTGGCTTATGTTACAGGGGCCCACGCGACAGGGGCTGATGCATGAGGAGCAGTTGCAACCCAATATCCCACAGACCCTTGCGGGGTTCAGCCTGTGCTTTCGGGAAAACTGAACCCTAGGCTCCTAAACCCTTGCAGCCAAGCCTCCTCAGGTGTTTAGGAGCCTTTTGTAGCAGGCTTCTCTCGCCCGGAACAGCTGTTGCGGAGCCTAAACCCCTCAACCCTAAAGTTTTCAGGGTTTAGGGTCTAGGGACCGGAGCAGCTGTTTAGGAGCCTAAACCCCTAAACCTTCAAGGAAAGGCTCGTAAAGCTCTCGCTGATCCGCCGTCATGCCCGATGTGGGTGAGCAGGGTGGCAAGCGGGACGCACCAGAGCAGCATCCTTGACGTCAAGAATCGAGGAATGGAAGGCTAATATAGGGGGCTGAATGATTAGAATAAGGTACCCTTTAAAGGGGTCTTTTAAAGGCGTACTATAAGGGATCTATAGTATGGTTCTATAATATAGGGGCCTTTAATAATTAGATTTGGGTTTGGGGGCCCATTATACTCTAATTTGAATAAGGAGCCCCCACCATAGTGTAGGCAATTATTTAGGCCCCTATAGTGAACACATGGGTACTCCACTGAGAAAGCCGATCCCCGAATCTGCAGCGACCGTTCAGCTTCATCTAACTTCTTTCGGCGCCCTTCGGATCAGGGGACTTAGAACTAGAACGAGTAACTCCGCTAATAAACAAGGTAGATATAAGTAGAAGCACTTATTATACGCCCCATGAACCCACCTCTAAGCTTACTTATATATAATTCCACCGGCCCCCTAAGGTTTACAGCTTCACTGCTTCTTTGACAGCACAGGCACGCATGCCAAGCTGGTGCAGGGATGCCCGGGAAGCCCAGGTACGCAAGGCAAGCGCCATGGCTTGCGGAGTTCCAGGGTTCAGAGCTCCAACTCGGGTTCGCAACGAACTTCTGCTTCGGGCTCGTACCGTGCTCAAGTTCAAGAAAGTGCCTGGAATTCGTTGAATCAACCAGAAGTAAATAATGATCGAATTTTCCTAATTTTCCTAATCCCGAACCCTAAACAATACATCATGACTATGAATATGAAGCCTCAAACTTTCTTTAGGCGCAGACTGTCTTACGACTCCGCTGCCATTTGCCGTACAAGAACAGCTGTCTTTTCTGTCACATCAAGGTAGGATCACTAGGGTAAATGGGTAAATGCCTACTTGCACAGCCCTCAAAGTTTGGGCCTGAGCCAGCCGACCTTGGTGCCGAATCAAAGATTCCTGGCTCCAGTGCCACTGCACCAACGGTCTTCAGGGCCTAACCAATTAACTGGGGCTCTGGACACTAGGAACGGATTATCCAGCAACTATGTCTGGACATTTGCTTCTGCCCCTTCGGTGCACGCTGGAAACTCTATGACTGCAAAAGTTTGATCACAGCTTTGGTCTCAGTCTTGTGGTTTTTAGCTTAAGGATTGAGGGCTGCACCCTAAGTCCACGAGCGGCTGATGCGGGTTAAGGCGGAATCCCGATCCTGAGCCCGAACTGGAATCACATTTGACACTTCAGGGAATGGCCTCGGATACGAACACAAACCTGAAACCCTACACCCCAAAACCCTGAAATCATTTGCAGGGTTTGGTCTCCAGGCTGTTGGGCTTGGAGGGTTTTGAAGGCCAGAGCCCTGCAAGCGCCTTTTTCCATCTCAGGCTGCTCCTCGTCTTGCACCTCCAACCCTAAACCCTCCGTGGGAGGATGTGAAGGGAGCTTCACCGTCCGCGCGATGCCTTGGAGCTTTGGCGACTGGCGCATTCGGAGTTCGGGTGCTTCCGGAATGCACTTGATGGATGTGTTGGGGAGCAAGAGATACAGCTTCAAGAAACTTAGAGAACACGACTCTCACCAAGAGATGTGCAGCCCGAGGCTTTTGGTGTAGAGCGACATGCTCGTCATCCCAACTAAACACACCGACAAAAGCACCGCCACAACTACTTCCATTCTCCCATTCCCGAGTGCGCATCTTGAACAAACTGGGCTCGAAACTGCCACATGCTTTCTGGCGAGATTGGTAAGTTTACAACACCATATACAAGCCATGCAAGCCCTTTTGACCCTGAGGCTCCGTGCGTGTATGCAGTATGTACTTTGGCCAAAGTTCCTATACAGCAACTTAAACCAAGGGCTGACGGATGTACTATACACGTGTGTGCTTACATTCTCATACACACGCACGTGTTTGTACATATGTGTGTATATATGTACACACCTGTTGCAGGCAGACAGACCCCTGGGCTTTTAGGACTCGCACTCGACCAGATTTTGGGGCAACATCAGCTACAACTTCTGGCGCCTATATAGCTTTTTGACAGTTGGTTACGAAAGGAGGTCAAGTGTTTGGGGTTTAGGGTCTCGGCTTTGGAGGTTTCAGGCTTGCATTTTTGGGACCCTCAATCCCAAACCTGAGCCGGTGATCCTCCAGCTCGGTTCCAGCTGACGGGTCCAACATGTACGGGCCAAGCTCTCGTCTGATAATTTCCTTATACTAGTCCGTAAACAGGCAGGTTCTTTCTAGGGTCCATGTAGGGTCTGGGATCAATCCAAAGCTCTTTGGCTTTATCTCGGCTCCTACATACCAAAGCTTCGCCCACATGCTCTGTAAGCATTGTGTCCGTCTGCTTGTGTCTGGATAAGGAATTTAAGTCAAGGTACCACACTGAGGATCCAACGCACATTATGTGGCTTCCTTGCTTTTGCAACTTCAGTTCAGTTCCCGAACAAGAATCCAATCTGGGTGTCTCCGAAACTCCAACCCAAGCTAAACACTAATCAAACCCCACACCCGAAAACCCTAAAACCGGCTTAGAAGTATGCAGTTGTGGTTTGCGTGATCTTACTAAACAGTGCATCTCCTGCAGGTGAGCAAAATCGGGGGGGGGGGGGAGGCGTGGCTCTCAAATTTTCGGGATCCCTTTCTACCCCAACCCCCCAAAGTAGGTAACATAATGGCCCAATACCAATTATTCTACATACTTCGGGGGTCCATTTCTAAGCTCTTTTGTTCCCGTTGATTGCTGAACCTCCCATTTTTGAGACGGAGCGGCATCAACTTGACCGACTCCTCCGAGTTGTCGCGCGTCCTGGCTTCTGCTTTTTGAATAGTGGCCTTTTTGTCTCGGTATTGGGCCATTATTTTACCTACTTTGGGGCGGTTGAGGTATAGGCTGTAGGGATTTAAAGTTTACGCACATGCAACTCGGACTTGCACTTTAGGCTGTAAAGCTTAGGGGCTGTAGGTTAGGGCTGAAACGACGCATTTTCGAATTGCACTCTGTAGAAGGGGGTCAAGAGCCCCAATTGATCGAGGAATGTAGTGTCAAATGATACCGCTGCTGGACAAAATCCTGCATTACCCATGACAAGGAATATACCATAGTTCCCATAGTTTAGAGTCCTTAGTGTCATGCAGGGTTTTGTCCATCAGCAGTATGAATATGCCCCTGATAGTGCGAGGAAGATCCCATAGAGAAGGATTGCTGGGCTACGTGGGTGGCGCTGGCTTGGCTTCGGATGTTTCTGTCAGTTGAAGGAAGCTTCTGATAGTATATGCTTGTTTTAAGGGCCCCCGGCAAGGGATCCCACATTTTCGGACACCCACCTCCCTGCTTCACCACCCCGCATATGGTGCAAGGACCTAAGCCCTAAACCCTAATGCCCCTTAACGACCCCAGGCAACAAATAACATCTGAACGACTTAAGGCCAAATCCTAAGACCCCAAACCTATACCCTAAACTCGAAACACTCAGCAAACAACCGGCAGGTTTCCACCACTGTGCGGTGGTAATTTTGGCCGAGGGTAGTCCTTAAGCCCTACTCAACCCTTCTAGAACCCTTGAAAGGCAGTTGGGCCCAAAAACTGAAACTCTAACGCCCTGAACACGGAATCCTACACTCCTCTATACCCTTATAGAACCCTATGATAGATCCCTTACAGACCTACTATTTTAGGGTACCACATTAGGCTCCTAAACCCTGAACGTCTGGACCGCCTGCGCCTCCTCAGCGGCGAAGAGGATCAGGCGGTCTCCGACAACGAGATGTCCAAGATCTACCCTGCAACGAAATTACGACTTGAGGGTTTGGGTTGAGGGTTCGGGTTTAGGGTTTAGGGTTTAGGGTTTAGCTTCTGTTGAGGGTTCGGGTTTTGGCTTCAGGCTGTATCAAGAAAACCAAGCACCAAGGGGTATTTACAACACTTACGGAGCGCACCTTCAATCAAACTTGGCTTAAGCAGTATGACTTATGGTTTCTCACCGTATTGCGCTCTCTGGGCGTTTCGAGCTTCGGGTTCGGGGTTAGCAGAAACTGCAGATATAGGATTTCGCGGTTCCAAAGGTTAAGGCTTTTGGGATTTCGGGTTTGCGGGCTTCTACGGGTTGGGGCTTACTACTTAGGGTCAAGGGAGTCGAAATCCCAAACTCTATAAACTCCAAATTCAAGATTTTCTAGCGACTCTCTGTAAATCCCAAACCATCAACCTCAACTCTTGAGCCCCTATTCCCCAAAACTCTTAAACCCAATCCCAAACCCGGGCTTCAGCAGACGCCTCGCGGCAACTTCATGTCGGTGTCGCGACGGAGCAGGGGAGCCCACCCGGGAAGGTACCGAAAGTTCTCTTCAGCCTGTACCTGCCAGTGCTAGAGTTTCAGTTTAGGGTTCAGGGTTTAGGGGCTTAGGGTTTATAGGATTCAAGGTTTAGGGTAAGGGTTTCGACGCTCACACTCGCACAGGACAGAGGGTCTAGGGCCCAGGGCTGACGTTTTAGGCTCAGGAAGTAGAGTTTAGGGTTTTAGGGTCTGCATCGCTGAATCTTCGGAGCGTGTACGTGGCATTCACCTTGTAGGGCAAGTAGGGTACGGCAACACAAAGCATGCCAAAGCGTGCCAACACCAATAACCTTCTAAGGCCTTGAATTTACAGCACTTTTCTGTTGCCGCTGCTAGAATTTGCCCCTCCAAGCCCCGAGCCTGCCTCTCATATCCCAAACAGATACAATCCTGAACCCTGAAGTGAAATCCTGAACCGTCAACCCTTTTTGCAGCAGGCCTCGTTGTCCAGCAGCCCGGTTACAGCATGAACCTAACCCCTAAACCCTAAACCCCTAAACCCTAAACCCCCTTTCCCCGGCTTCTTGAAAGCAAGGAGAGGAGTCGAGGGGAACCGTCAACCCTAAACTCCACTTGGAAGGGCAGGGGACTTAGTAAGTAGGGCTCCTTAAAGGGATCTATAGGGTTCCTTAAAGGGGATCTATGGGGTTTAGGGTTTAGGGACTTAGTAAGTAGGTTATAAGTAGGGTTATAATTGGGGTAACTCCATTTAGGGTACTTATAACTCTACTTATAACCTACTTACTAAGTCCCCTGCCCTTCCAAGTAAACCCCCAAGCCGGCAACCTGAACCTCTTCAACTCCTGAAGTTGTGCCGGGCACCTGATTCAGACATGGATCTACCCACAATACACCATATAAGAGAATCCGAAAATGGGGGGCCCCTAGTATAGTAGCTAAAAGGTAGGATCCTTGTTATAAGGTTTAGGGCTTAGGTTCAAGACTGATGCCAACAAAAACTCACGTGAACCATGCTGTGATCTATTCAAGAGGCCGCCCTCCCTGGCCCTTCGGGCTTTCACTGTGCTGCAGCTCAGCTGCTTTCTCAACCACTCGTCATGCTCCTCGCAAGGTCGATCGATTAGTTTGGGCAGGCCCTGCACTCAACACCCCAAACCTAAGCCGCTTATGGTGTTTCGTGAGATGCACTGGCACTGGTACCTGGAATCGCCCATGGTCCAGCAAGTCCAATCCGACGCAGTCCATGGATTTACGGTTTAGGGCTGTGTGATCTTGTAGTAGAG